TTCACTATTCCACACATGGTACTATTTCAGCTCCTATATTTTGTCTGAAACAAAGGAAACTTTTAAGTTTTTATTTTTAATGATAAATCCTGCATAAAACTGTAGTAATTAATGTTTTCCCCAGATAGGAATTCTGAGACCCACTGCTATTTCTTCTTCTTAGAGGAACACACACACACACACACACACACTTCTTTTTCTCATAAATGAAAAGAAAAAATAGTGAGTTTTAACAAGTGAAAGGAATATGGAGCCCAGATCCTAAACACAAGGAAACAGGGATGAAGAAGAGATGCGAAAGTGTCTACAGATCCCAAAGACAGGTTTAAGAAGGTAAAAGCAGAGACCCAATAAACTAGGACTCAAGTCTATTTTTCTTTTTCTTAAAATAATTGAAGATGTAGAATGTACTTGTTTGAAAAATAACTTCCAGGAGAAAACTATAAAATTTGTATACATTTTAATTTTGGACATTATCCCAGCTTCACTCATCAAGGTGAACTAATCATTCACAATGTAGGTAATTTTTTTAAGAACACCGTTCTTCACTTTAACTTATGACCATCTCCTTTTAAGCCCTACCAGGAAAGGTTTAAGGGAATCCAGAATTCCATTTTTGTTTATATAAATAGCACAAGATGACTCTTCAGCTTCATAACTCTACATTTGCTTTGAGATTGTAAGCACATTACATACTAATGATCTACATTAGCTTCTCACCCCACTGTAGAAAGAAAAATGTAACAGACAAGCCCAAGTGTGTGTGTGTGTGTGTGTGTGTGTGTGTGTGTGTGTGTGTGTGTGTGTGAGAGAGAGAGAGAGAGAGAGTGAGAGAGAGAGAGAGAGAGAGAGAGACATCCCAAAGCCAGACAGGGAGTTCTGCTTTTAGCAACTTCCAAGGCTTTCAAATGACCATTTAGAATTGGACCTATGGTGTTTATTCTGAAAAATAAGCAAAGTAAAATCATCCAGGTAAGTCCTGAGGACCTAGAGAAAGGCTTTGGGTTAAGGGAACAGGAGGAGGAGGGGGCTATAACAGTGACAGATGGGATCTGTCCTGAGTCACCTCCTGGGGTGTCAGTTAAGCAGCTGTAATCCATTTTATCCATTCTCTGACACAGCAGACAGATGTACTGCCTGAATGGCTTGCATTTCACTTTTCGTAACAGCCTAGAACAGTCAGCCCTCCCTACTGAGACAGGACTTTTCATCTAGGTAAAAATATAGAGAGATTTTCAAAAAGAAATGCTGGATCTCTCGCTCAGAAGGGTTCATTGTGCTAGACAGTATGGAGATGTCAGTTCAACAGTGGCTTGAAAAAACTGTCAAACTCCTTCCTGCATTTCACTGTCTTTGAGCTATCACACAAAGAACCTTTCCCAATTATATTTTGACCATTAAAAAAAAATCTTTTTGTCCTTGATTAAGCATATGGTTATATAGATCAAATGCATTTTTAAGGGTCATTGTTAAGAAACAGGTTTCGTGGGGGGGTGCCTGGGTGGCTCAGTTGGTTAAGCGTCTGCCTTTGGCTCAGGTCATGATCTCAGAGTCCCCGCATCGAGCCTCACGCCAGGCTCTCCAGTGTAGGGAGCCTGCTTCTCTCTCTGACCCTTCCCCCTTTCATGTTCTCTAACAAATAAAATCTTAAAAAAAAGAAAAGAAATACATTTTGTAACAAAAACCAAAATAACAGGTTGATCTTGATTTAACAAAGCCTTGCTATATTAATTCATAGAACATGAGTTTAGCATAATTTGTAAAAAAAAAAAATAAAATAAGGATTAGATACTTGCTTTTCCTTCCCATTAAAGGATATCTGAACACTTCTTAGATGGGACTTAGGAGCAATTTTTCTTTCAGGAGTAAATTACTTAGCTTTTAGAGCTGTATGAATATCCATTTAAGTCAACTGATTTAACCAATTAATAAATGTTTGAGTACATTTTGTCAGGCCCTATGTGAAGCTCTTAGTATTGCAAAAAGATACTGCCCTTCTCCCTCCTTACAGACAAGGAAAACAAAATACATAGTTACTCATTCTGATCATTGCCTGCAAGGAACAGGAGATCCTCAGAGATAACCTCTTTCAGGTAAGGTGGTCAGAGAAGACCTCATTGAGGACATGGTATTAAAGGCGAGACCTAAAGAAAAAGGAGAGAAGCCAGCCACACCAAGAAGAGGTTTGGAAGAATTACCATTTCTGGAGGGAAGGTCCCAAGGAATAAAATCTTATGCATTTTCCAAATACACCTTAATAGATCAAGAGAAAATGTATTTCAGACTCCATTCTTCTTTCTCTCTGGAATTTATTTGGATACAGGACAGCTTACGCTGATGCTCCCATTGGCTTATGCTTTCTCTTTTGCTTTACTTTTTTGGAGACTTTCTAAACTTTATTTTCCAGAATTCTGTAAAGTCTTTAGCTCTGCTCTCGTTTTAATTTTAAAGAGCTCTTCAGTGTTCCATTTGTCGCCCTGTTTTTCATGGAAACAGGATCTTCTCTTGTCCTCCGAGGAGGCTGATGACACTGAGTGGGAGTTGTCATCTTCGTCTAGAGTCCCCTATGTTACTTTGTGCACTCCTTCCTCCCTCCCCCCTTTTTGATTTGTCTTAGTCTCTGTCTGTCCTGTAATAAGTCTGGTGACACTTGGCTAATGGTGCATCTTTAAGGATGGGCTGTGGACAAGATTTTAAGATTCAAGGGGAGAAAAGGGAGATCAGGCTGAGCTCTACCTATCATGAGAGAGACTCTCTAGTAATTGGTAAGATTTCTCAGAGACATCTCCCTGTCTGCCATCTGGATGCCAACCCTCTGAGTGGTCAACACTCTGGGAGTTAAATTCAGGGTGGGGTGCATGGGGGGGAGCTGGAGGTCTTTTCATTTGGTTTGTAAACTTTTACTTAATCTCTCAGCTGTGGTGACACACCACCCCAGGGCAGAGACCCTCTCCTTTAACCCTTTCAGGGAACAAGCTTTCCAGCTGGCTGGATCAAGAGGCAACTGCTCAGCTGGGTGGAGAAGGGCAGGGAATTACAGATTTCCAACAGGTCCCCCTGTTTTAGCTCAACAATTCCCACCCTTTTCCAGTGGCAACTAGTGCCACAAGTTCCTTTCTAAGAACCAAGCTGGGGTGTTCTGCTTTCCCACTACAAGTCAAGCCATCAAACATGTCAGGTCTCCTGCCAGGGACCACTTGTTCACTGGCTTTCTAGTTCTCAACGTCTGTTACTTTCCCGTTAAAAAGATCTTTTTTTTTAAGTTTTCTTTGGGGGGCTTCAGGAGCAAGCAGAGTTCAGTGATGTACACATAAGTCTGCTGTCTTTATCCAGAAATTCCATGTAAGCTTTAAAAATGTGTATTTCTTGGGTGCCTGGGTGGCTCAGTGGGTTGAGCCGCTGCCTTCGGCTCAGGTCATGATCTCAGGGTCCTGGGATCGAGTCCCACATCGGGCTCTCTGCTCAGCAGGGAGCCTGCTTCCCTCTCTCTCTCTGCCTGCCTCTCTGTCTACTTGTGATCTCTGTCTGTCAAATAAATAAATCTTTAAAAAAAAATGTGTATTTCTTGTTACATATCTCACATGCTAAAATGTGTTTTTTTGATAGACAATTCTCATCTCTCTCGAGCCCTCTATAGTAGTCAATGCTATTAACCATTCTGTGCTTCATGGAATACTCTTCCCAATTCTTGAACATCATGATCTCCCAGATTCCCTCTCTTCTTTCTACCCACTCCTTCTCAGACTCTCATGCTGGCTCATTCTCTTCCACCCACCAACAAAAGTTGAAGTTCCTTAAAGCTCAGTGTTAGGTCCTGTCCGTTTTCTACTATATATTCTCTCTCCAGTTGATGTCATTCAAGTTTTTTAAGTATTAACAATCCACAAACATTTGTCCGATCCAGACTTCACCTCTCAGATTCAGATCCATATATCTAATGATTTACTTCAATTTCCTTAGATGTTCCAAAAGCAGTTTAGATTCAACATGTCTAAAAGTGCACTTACAATCTTACCTCAAGCCTGGTTTTCTTTCAGCATTCTCTATTTAGATAATGCCATTACCCAGGCATATAAGCTAAAAAAACAGGATTCATCCTAGACATGTCCTCCCATCCACCATATTCATTCCTTCTCCAAGTTTTACTGATAGGATCTCAACTTATGTACAGTTAAGTTCCTTTTTTCCATATCATCTAACAATACCTTTTACTACCAAAATCTCTCCCCTGGGTTAGTGAACTAGCTTCCTCACTCATCTTCCTGATCCTATTCCCATATTCCCCACCCACCTTAGTAATCTCAAGCTAATTTCTTATATGATCTTTTCAAAAGACTACATGAATTTCCTTATCTTTGCTTAAAATGTGGCTGAATTTTTGCCTCTAGGATACTGTTCTAAATCCTCAGGTTCACCAACAAAATCCCGACAAGTACACCTCCTCTCTACCACACGTTTCATCTCACATCATGCCACTCCTCAGGTTCTAGACTTTAATAATAAATAAAATAAATAAAAATAAAAAAATAACAAATAATAAAGACTATATTTTCTTGAATGCCCTGTGCCTACCCCATTCCCCTTCCAACACAGAGCCTTTGTACATGCTGTTCCATGTGTCTGTTTCACCTTTCCCTAGCTATGATTTCATCTGTAATTGCTCAGGTGTCATCTCCTCCAGCCCAAATCAGATGCCTCATCTTGTGCTTCCCTCTGCTGTCCTATATTGCAATTGCTTGTTTACACACCTGTCTCCCGACCACAGTTAAGAGCTGTTTGAACAGCTCTTTGTATCCTCAACAAAAAAGCACAGATTCTGGCACCTAGTATTTTATAATTGTATTATGCATGACTACAATAGCTCATTTAATCAAGAAAGTAAGTTATCAGTGATAAAAACCAATGTAAACTTTTATGATACATTAGGAAATAGGCAGGATTTCCAAGAAAATTTTTTCAAAGATGATATTTACAGAAAATAAACACCAACATTTCCTTACTTTTTTTGTTTTTCCCATTGCCTTCAGGATGGAAAGATTTAGGTCTTCAAGTGCTGCTAGTACATTCTCATATTCACCCAAGTGCTGGGAAAAATATTCTGAAAGTAAAAATATTGAAAAAAATCATGTTTGCATTTAGATGTCATAAAATAACAACAAAATCAACTGATGATATACTCCATTAATGTGTGAAACAAATAAAGGGTTGTAACTGAAAACTAGAAAGTTTTCATAAGAGACTAGTGTGTCAATATAGCCATTTCATTAAAATAAAAAAAACCTGAATGGTTACATTATTCTTGAAGAAATGCTCTTACAAAGATGGGGGGGGGGAATGAATCTGGATCTATAGACAAGACTGTTACAATAAAAAATTATTCTCAACAGCATGTTATTATAGCACCCATTACAATAGTAGCTTAAGCAAAAAATTAAACTACATTTTATTGTTTCTCCTGGGAGACATTTAAACAAGGTAAACTCATGGTTAAGAATTAACAATGCTACAAAACACGAGGATGGGCAGAGCAATAATCTGGGCAGAGCAAAACAGATGTTAACCATATTTTTCAATTGGTAGGGATAAATAATACATTGGATGTTACAATTAGGAGTATGGGATATAGACTCTTCCCAAACAAGTTGAAGTATAGGAGAGATAAATGCAAACCTCATATTTACTTATAGAAACCTATATATTTCTGAAATGAGAGATCTGGCCTAGGAAGTCATATATTGAAAAGACCTAGAACTTTCAGTCACTAGAAAATCATTAGCTCTCACCACTCCTGTGAACTCATCTTTGGATGAGCAGTAGTTTATTATTACCTCTCTTTAATATGCCATAATTATTTATGGAATCAAGTTGAATGAGAAGAAAAATCAACATAAAGCTATTTGAGATCACTGGGATAAATTTCAGCATGTTTTATGGAAACTTTAATACTCAAGATGGAATTATTTATTTGTTGACATTGACACTAATAACAAATGGGAAGTACCACTCAATGATTTATTAGTAAATGTGCAGAAATCATCTAAGAAAAAATAAACACAGGTGAGCAATAAATCAAGTCTAGATTATCATTGTCAAATTATAATTTGTGTACATATGCATTAAAAATGCATGGCATATTTTTGACAAAAAGCAAATGTATTCCTGACTATGCATTACTTAAAAAATGTATGGTGCAGATCATCTCACATAAAGCTTCTTTCAGGAAGGGATTAGTTGGAAAATAAATAAGAAAGCAGATATTTCTTAAATACCTGCTTGAGAGTAATGTTTTAATTCTTGGCTATGATACTGATTTTCTGTGAGCGCTGACCAACATATGTGACCTTGTCACCATTATTTGCAACACAGTTATTCATGAACTAGCAAGCAGTTAATGTGGCTACAGAATATTAACTTTGACAAAAATAATTAACAGAATAGAATCCACACTAAGTTGAAACAAGCAAAATGTATAAAGAAAAATGGAAAAAAAGTAAAATTGTTAGCATATTTTTAATATACACAAAAACTCAAGAAAGACTGTAATAGGGATTTCAAATGCAAGAAGGCAGAATATATTAAGTGGAAAATAGAATTTAGTGCTTAAAAATAAGGGTTAAAAAAACAAAACATGAAGGAACACCACCTTTTAAAATATTTTCATAAACAAGGTATCTGACTTAATCAATGAAGTTCTCCTGGAGAGACTATAAATTGCCTTTCCACTGTGAAATCAAGTTTATGAAGGGGTACATGCTGATAAAGAACATGAGAAGACAATGAGGTTTCTGAGCTGACACCTATCTAGACTTCCTTCCTTCATTTATTCAGCTACTCATTCATCTCAGTTATCAAAGTAGTTAGGAGAAAAAAAAAAATTACCCCCCAAGCAATATACTAGAACACAAAGAAAATAACTCTCAGAATAGAGAGAACTACAACACCAAAGCCCTGGATAAGAGATTAAGGATAAGGGATATTTTGAGGTGGTGTAGGTCAGCGCCACTCAAATTGTTTTATAATTTACCAATGGTGATGTGCCCCAGGGCAAGTAGGGCTCTGATGAACTCAAAGAAGGAAATTAGATGAAGGAGCCAGAGACACTTAATATGCATAATAGGAGAGATTCCTACCCTCCACTTCATGATGGTGAAGGTTCATTTGGTCATTCCAGGACTTAACACACATTTATTTAGTGCTTTCTGTGTGCCAGATGGGTTATACTAGGAGCTTGGAATACAAAGAAGACAGAATATTTAAGGATACTATAACCAGGTAGGGGAAATAAACATTGCAACAAACAACTGCTATACATATGGTCATTATTCCAGAAAACGGTTCAAGAAATCAGGTACAAAATATAACCAAAGTACAGGGCAAAGCAGGGGACATGCCTGTATTACCTTGTTCTAGTGGCCAGGGGGGCTTACATTTGTGGGCCCCATAGGGTCATGGAGAAAGAGTTCTTAACTAGGTAGCTACCCTACCCCCATGGCACAGCACAGAGATGGCAGACTGAAATACACCCATAGTCTTTCTGAGAAAAAGTCCCATTAGCTTATCTTCATAGCTATGGCATGAGAAGTAGGCTTGTAATTAAACACACATCTAGGGGCCAACAACAATCCTCTCCAAAGAATGTGAATGTCTGCATCACCACCTATGTGCTCCCTCTTAGCCCTACCCAAGGTCATAGGTGTCTTTAAAGAAAAGAGCTTATGGACACATTTGGCACCCAGACTTTTGGGGCTTTTGCCAAGAGAGCACATCCTTGATAGCCTGGCTCTGATGGCCAGCAAGGCTTGTGTTCATGAGTTCAATAGGATCATAGCAAAGAAAGAAACAGTTCTTAAGTGGTTATCACCCAGTGATCTGTGCAGAGGGAGCAACAGAGATAACCATCACCTGCCTTCCCCTGAAAGGTTAAAAGCTGTTACTTAAGGGTCTGGTGCTGTAGCCTAACTGTTGGTGTTGACTGAGATGCTCCTCTTTAGGACACTGACTAGTCTTGGCACACCCTCAATTACTGGGAACCACTAGAATGAAGTAGGTTACTTGAACAAGATTTGAGAGAAGCCAATAACTATGGCAGGGTTGAAAGATAAGGTACACCTCCTGTCTGAGAACACTCCTTTGAGACTGGAAGAGGTGTGGGGTTTTTTTGTTTTTGTTTTTGTTTTGTTTGTTTGTTTGTTTTAATCTAATGCACAGAAACCAACTTAGAGAGTCAAGAAAAATAAAGAAATAGAGGAATATGTTCCAAATGAAAGAATAAAGTAAATACTTCAGAAAAAAGACTGTAATAGAGATTAGTGATATACCTAATGAAGAGTTCAAAAGAGTGGTTATAAAAATGACAGCGAAACTTGGAAGAACAAATTAATAAAGTCAGAATTTCACAAAGATACAAAATACAAAGTACCAAATAGAAGTAACAGAATTGAAGAATGCAATAACTGAAGTGAAGAGTACAATAAAGGGCTTCAAAAGCAGACTAGATGAATCAGAAGAAAGGATCAGCAAATGTGAAGAAAGGGCAGTGGAAATTTTCCAATCAGAGCAGCAAAAAGAAAAAGAAAAGAGAGTCAGCATAGCTTAGGAGACTTACAGGAAATCATCAAGTGAACCAATATTTATATTATAGGGGTCCCAGAATGAGAAGAAAGAGAGAAAGGGAAAGAACTCTTGTCTGGAAAAACAATGGCTGAAAACTTTTCCAGCCTAGGGAAAGGAAACAGACATACAGATCAAAGAAACCCATTAAGTTCTCATTAAGGTGAAGCCACAGTTAAACTCACCAAGACACATTATAATTAAACTGTTTAAAGTTAAAGGAAAGGAGAAAATCTTAAAAGAAGCAAGAGAAAAACCAACTTGTTAGGTACAAAGGAACCCTTATAAGACTATAAGCAGATTTTTAGCAGAAACTTTGGAGGCCAGAAGAGAGTGGCATGATATATAAAGGGAAAAGTATAGTAAAATTCAGAATAATCTCATGATGGAAAGATGGAGGTTAATCACTTATAAAGCTAATATGACAGCTAAAAGATGAAAGTGTTCAAATAATGATAACTACAGTAACTTGTTACCAGATACACAAGATAAAAATATGTAAATTGTTACATCTAAAACATGAAAGGTTTCATGGGGGTAAGGGAATAAAATTGTAGAGCTTCAGAATGTATTCAAAATTAAGTTGTTATCAAGTTAAAACAGACATTTATAAATTGTTTTATGTGAACCTCATGGTAACCACAAAGCAAAAACCTATAGTAGACACACACACACACACACACACACACACACACAAACACACAAAGAGAAAAAGCTAAAATATACCACTACAGAAAAACATCAAATCACAAAGGAAAAAAGAGAAAAAGAAAGGAGCAGAGGAACTACAAAACAATCAGGAAGCAATCAACAACACATAAATAAGCACATATGTATCAATGTTTACTTTAAATATAAATGGGCTAAATTCTCCAATCAAAAGAGTGCATGGATGGATTTTATATATGCTGCCAACAAGAGACTTACTTGAGATATAAGAACACAGACTGAAAGTGAAGGGATAAGAAAAGATATCCCATGCAAGCAGAAACCAAAAGGAAGCTAGAGTAGCTATACTTATATCAGATAAAATAACTTTAAAACAAAGATTATAAGACAAGGAAAGTTATTACGTAATGATAAAGGATCAATCCACCAAAAGAAATTTACATTTGTAAACATGTATGCACATAACATAGGAGCACATAAATATATAAGGTATATATTAACAGATCTAAGAGAGAAATAGTAATACAATAATAGTAAGGGACTTTAATATGCCACTTATTGGTCAATTGATGAATAGATCATTCAGGCAGAAAAATAATAAAGAAACAATGGTCTTAAATGACACATTAGACCAAATGGACTATGTATACACACATACATATGCATGTACGTACATATACACACACTCACACAAACCATTCCATCCAAAAGCAACAAAATACAAATTCTTCTCAAGTACACAAGGAACATTTCTCAGGATAAAGAATACGCTGGGTCACAAAACAAGTTTTTTTTTTTTTTAAGGTTTTATTTATTTAT